ATCGTTAGCGAAAGCATGTTTCCAGTCACCAGCTCTGCCAAAAACCCAAAGCCCACAGGCAGGTTTGGTTCCTTAGGTGAGAGTATAATGCTGTGGCTGTCACAATACTTGTTTTTCAAAACAGTGATATGTAATTTAGCATATTAAAAGAAACATCGCTTTAATTAAAGATCCAAAGGAAATCAACAAAAAGTTATGTTTGCTAAACAATATTCAGTATTATAATTGAACGCCCTCATTTTGCAGCTCACAACTTAAAGACTTTGCATTTATTTAACACTGAAAATACAAAAATAAATGATATACCCAAGATCACCTAGTAGTAACTTAGCAGTACCACATTTCAATACACACAGCACTAAAATACAGTATGCACCAGCACCATGGAACAAGGAGTTTTTCAACAGATGGTATGGCCCCCACAGAAATCTGATCTCCACATCATCCATCCAGTCAATCTGGGATTACATGAAATAACAGAAGCAATTAAGTGAGCCTAAACTCACAGAAGCACTGGGGCAAGTTCTCCAAGATGTTTTGGAACAGAGTACCTGCCAAGTGCTTAAAATAAACAGAAAGTAAACTGTTGCTACAAATAAACCTTAAAAGGCATGGGTGGTTACATCATATATTATCATTGGATTTACGACTCTTGCAACTAAAGTCAACTCAAATCACTCCGATTTTACTGCTTATTTATTGCATTCGTGCAGTGTGGTGTACATGTTATGTTGACATTTTCTAGAGATTTATAGTCTTCAGGTACTAAGTTAAGAAAAACTTAGCTAGATCCATTCATTCAGGTCACCGCTTAATCATTGCTGGCTGTTGAAAATCTGTAACTTCTGCCAATTTCACTCCATTGCTCATGGATTCAGGCCAGTGGCCCTCCAGTCTCTGGTCCATTGTTTTAACCTTTGGACCGAAACTCCCTCCTCAAAGTTTCACAGACTACTACATTTGCGTCTTACCTGCAATTGTATTTCTGTCCTACTGGCTATACTACATCTGATAAGATGCAGTATAACTGTCTACCATCCATTTCATATGGTCCCCATCCAGGACAATATGATATAATTCACTGCCAATTGAGTGATTCTTTATTCACACCACAATAAGTGGTAATAAGATTGGCTGGCTATGCCACTGCATCCAATAAGTTATAATACAATTGGCTGTCAGGATTATGTATTCACACTTAAATAAGTTGTGATATAATTGGAGTGCTGGTGGTTCTATATCAAATAAAATGTAATATGATTGGCTGGCAGTAGCTGCGGATTCAATAAGATCTAATCTGATTGGCTCATATGGATTCTATATATCCCATAAGGTAAAATATGACAGTTTTCCAGGGACTTTGAGGCACTTTGTTTTCCAAGTGCATTTTACATGGACTCTGTCCCAGAGAGCCTGGCACGCCACAGCTCCAGACAAAAGGCGAGTCAGTGAGCTTTCCAGCAGGTATTTCCCAGTCTAGCTCTGCTTTGCGCCAGCAGAAGCAGTAGTTTAGGAGGATTAGCCCACATCCATCTGCAAGTAAGCCAGAATATCTTTCCATGTTTTCTCTGCAAGACAGCCAAGTTCTGTATCTCCTCTGTTTTCTGTGAGGGAAGGTTCCAGGACGGATTTTGTATTGTTTTGCAAAGGTTTTCTCATAAAACAACTGAGTAAAATGCATAAACACATGAAAGGCAGTGTAAAACCATGAACCATTATAGCTGCTGCTTCTATAATGAGGTAGTGTAATGCAGTTTATTGTACAGTCGCCTTTTACAGCGCCTTGCATAAAGTCTGTGTGCTGTTTTAATGTTGCAGATCAGGGGCCAGCATTTGAAGCCTACACTGTGTCGCCACTCCAGTTCAGTTTCAAGAAACTCTTTGAAACAGGACTGCTAAGCACAACTAAAACTCACACTTTGCGCAAAAGAAAAGCACTCAAGATATGCTGTAGCTTAAAAGGATCAACGAGTGATGGGCAAATTTACCAGACAGAAGTTTTAATTAGTAAATGTAATGTTTCAGTTCAAAGTCTGTCATCTTAGCTCATTCCCTTTTCCTGCTCCCATTATGACAGCAGTGCTAAATGTATGAGATCTTTATTGTACAAGCACTGATGTAGGCCATATTTTTATGGCACTACAAAACAATCAAGGGAACTGTTGTTATTCACATTCAGGCATGAAGCCTCCTCAGTGCCGTTAACTGAAAGAGAAAGACAGCAGCATCTGATTCCTTTGTAAGCGGAGTGCAAATGGGAGGACATGTGGGTGGATGAATAACACCAGCTGTCTACGATTACAAACAGGATGTGTCCCCTGTTAGAAGCAACTAAACTTCCACTCACTTTCAGAAATCAAGACGCTGAGGTAACGCGAGCATTCCTTCAGGTTTCACATTCTTGGCTCTAAGTGGTTGCGCAGGTGGTGCAAAGCAAACCTTTTTTGGGGGATATCTTGGCAAAATAACACGATTAAAGGTGTGTTTTATTAGCGGTTTTCTGCTTCTGCTTTTTGTCCACCCATGAATGTGCAGACAAATATAACTAACTTACTTTGATATGAGGAAAAGTAAAGAATGTGATGATTCTCACAGAAGCTGTGGATTTACACAAATTCTGCTGATTTCAAGGCTGATTAAACGTTGAGCTGCAGTGGACACTGACGTTATGAAGTGCTGTGAAGAGAGTTAAAGTCACGCTGATCTAAAAACTATGGTAATCAAACATGCATATGCATAGGCCATATTTGACTGTCAGAACAAGGGCCATGTTTTAACATGCACCGTGACAATAGGGTTAGTACCTTAACTATGTCAACGAGGCATGTGTCATCATCGCTGCTGCAACTCGTACCGCTGATCTAAGTCTGTCCTCTGAATCTGAATCTCCATTTCCCTGTAAAATCTCATGCTAACCAAAGACAGTTTTTTGTTTTGTTTTTTTAATTTTCCTTTTCCATTCATCTGATCCAAACACGAAGGAAAATTAAACTTAGCGCTGAATTGAACAATTAAACTGCTTTTTGCATTTTCAATGGTGTTAAGAGTTTGATAGCAGAGGATGCTGATGTTGTGTTTATGCACAGAATCAGAGTCTGTTGATAAGTTATCAGGGCAGAGCATGTTTTGAACTTGTTTCATGCTGAAATACTAATCGTCCAGACAAAGTTGAGTAAGCAAGCCAACAAAAGCACCAAGCAACAAAAGCAACAGCTGAACATCTCATGTCCACACACAGCCCCATAACAAACACAAACAGCTGTACAGAGCAGACCCTTTGCAGGATTTCTCTGCTGTATCTGCTCTCAGCATCTGCGTCACCATCACAAAGTTCCTTTTGCATACACTCTGTAACACTTTGTCATTTTTCTTGCTCACAAGCAAAGTTCTAAACCAGTTGGACTGGATTCTAAACCAGTTAAGATGTTTCACAAGGGACATGCAGACTTTCTGCTTCAATTTGAGGCGCTGATAAGGAGAATTGCATGAAGTGCTAAGAGTAGTGAAATTAAATACATTTTTTATACAAAGGCTGCCATTTTCAGAGACTCAAAAGTAATTGGATAAACTAAGGTGATTCAAAAGATAATAATACTTTCAACAGAAACCTTTTAGTGCTTTACCATCAGTTTGAAAGCATGCGGTTTTTGCTATCTCTCTGATCGAGGTTTTGCAGCTTACACTGACATCTCTTAAGACCTAATGTTGTAGATTCCAGTGAAAAAATACCAAATACAAGTTCAAAGCTTGAAATAAACTCCAGATCTTTTCTCTGTATACCTGGCCATGAACCTGCTTATCAGTTACTCTGAATACCTGAGTATCAGGGAAAAATATATAAAAATTGCTTTAATTCCTATACAATGGTTGAATGCCTTGAATTAAAGCTGAAAGTGTGCAATGTCATTTTCATTGTTTGATTTAATAGCCAGTGTGACGGTGTAGACACAGAGGCAAAATTACATAAAGCTGTATCATTGTTAAACTACTTAAAAATATAGCATATGTACAAGAAAAAATTCAGTATAAAAGTGAACAAAAACTGACTTATTATGAACTAAACTGTGATTTTCAACGAGAAATTAAAAAAGAACTATACTCTCAGCATATGTCTCTAAATGCCCCGAGGTAGGAACAGTGATCTTGGCAGAGCATATCAACCCCACCACAGTCCCATATCGCGCACAGCTTTGGCACATATGCCTCCATATTAGAAAGTTTACACAAGAAGAGACTGAAACTGGCTAATTACAGCTTAACAATCATGTAATAATAACATTACACATGTTTTAAGTAATGAACTTGGCATTAACAATCAAAAATCAAAGTCATCTTGTCCATTTCCTGAGAAAAGTCCAGATCATCAGAAGTATGATTATAAAAATCAACTACTTGTTTTCTCAATTTACGTAACAAAATAACAACATATCAGCAATGCTTCAAACTTACTACAAAACTTTGTTTAAATAAATACAAGCACAACATGAAAAGTACTGCACATACTCAAGTCTCAAACTGAGCCTTAGAATAAACAACTCATTTATTGGATCTTGCAGACTTCGTACTGATCAACTCTCATCAACCACTTCTCAGAAATTAACAGTGTTTGTACACATAAAGGCCATTATCTGTAGAGCCACAGAATCTTTTTTGGCGGTCACTCTTGTTTTTCAGTCCATGTGTAACCAGCATCTACCCCTGAGAATACTCGTCAGCTGCTTTAAACTGCTTCTTCTTAGACTCTGGATCCAGTGGGAACTTGTTTTTTTCAGAAAGCTGTGATAAGCAGATGGCTGGGAAGGCACTTGTCAAGGCTGATGTAGCAGAACATCTTTTGAAAGCTTGTTTTATGCGCAGCTCTCCTTTGCAGAAAAGTGTAAATAGTGCTGACCTTAATGCGCTTTAACCCTTCGTATTTAGCTGTGTCTGAAACGTATAAATGCCTGCAGCTTTTATCAGAGGGAGAAAACGATTTTATGCAATCTTGTGTGGACACTTACAAAGCATGATGAGGGTGGTTGTCCCTTGTTCATTTCCAGTAGGATAGGTGGCGTACTCGCAGGTATAGCGACCGGCATCGGACATTCTCAGGTTAGAAATCCTGATGGATGGGTTCTCCAGACTGTTGTGAAGGAACACAACGCGGTCCTTGAAGGCCACATTAGGGAAACTCTGTCCATACACCGGGTGGTACACAGCAATGTTGTCCCTGTGCCCGTCAGAGGGTTCCCATATCCAGGACACCTGATAAGAATCAAGAATTTATAAACGGCAGCGGTTACAGTTTGCCCGATTATTCTTTTCATTGCTTTTATTTTTATGGTACACAACTATAGCTCATTAAAGAAGATAAATTCGTGCAGCAGACTAACTTTTGACTCACATCATCCTAACAAGGTTCTTAAGCAGTCAGCAGCTCTTTCAATCATCTAATGAGGAGGTCTTTAAATACTGACACTGGAGGGCTGTAACCAGGAGATTAATAATGTTGCCACGGATTAACGTATGCCGTAGTGTTCTACATGTGCAGTAAATTGTCCCCATTATAGTTAGCCAAATTGAATACTAGAAGTTCCTTTTGTTCCTACAGTAACTGATTACTTTGAAGCTGGGATACCAGTAATCATTTTTAAAGAATCGTCTTTTGTGTTATTTTAATAGAATTTATTGCACTTAATTAGATTCACACCGAATCTAAAATTATGTTCATCGGGTCTTTGGCAGACTAAGAAAAGTCTATTATAAACTGTAGCATTTTGGGTTTTAAGAGTTTTAAAACAGCCTCACTGAGCTGTGTTTGCAGCCACAGGTCCAACTGTTGACCATGTCGGTAAGTAGTGAAAAAAAATCAGCAGTTCAGACAACAATTACCAACTTCCTGTTGTTCGGCGTCTTCCCTTAATACACTGACAGTTTGTTTGTAAACCAGAAGGCATGCATGAATATTTTTGGATGCCAACATTTTTGACATTTCTCTGAATACATATTGCAAACTGCTGTCCCTGTAACATGAAATCATTTGGCTTATAGCAGCAAAACGTTGAGTACAATTAAAGTTGTCTGAGTGAGAAGCCGAGAATCTGCTGCAAGATTAAATTAAATGTCTGTTAGACTTGCAGGCGCTCGCTCAAAGACCCCGCTGCTTTTTTTAAACAAACACAATTTTTAAAAAAAAAGGATCATCTTAGAGATTTCTAATATGCGAAAGATATCGATATCTGGCCTGTGAGAGACACTTCCACGAGGGAGAACGCTGTGATGGTAAACCAAATTGATTTTATTTTTCTCTGCAATTTTCAAAGTGACAGCCAATAACAAACTGCTCGCTAAACTGGTACACCAGGGAGCAAAGGGAATAAAGTTCATCAATACACATTTAGCAAACATCTATTAAATGTATGACATGTAGGATGGAAGGAAGAGAGCAAGCAGAGGAGGTTGAAGGTTGTGAAAAGGATGATGGATTGTAACCCAGATGTCATTGCAAATTAGAGGATGATTCTCTGCTGATTGAAGAGAAAATATCACAGAGGGCAATTTAGCCCGTCTGCATTTTTAGATTTTACTTGTGAACAAATTACCTATTGATTTCATACACAACTCAGACAGATCACACAGAATCAAATTGAACTCGTAAACAGCTCGTAGCACTTTGCTTATTCTGCTCGGCGTTGAAAATGACATCTGAACCGTTCAGGTGGCGTCAGATACGAGCTCAACTGGGACTTGATGAGATAAATTGACATCCATATAGTCAGCTGAGCTAATTTTACGCCGTGTGTCCTCGAGCAGTTCTCTTCTGTAGACCAAGTTGGAATTAAACGAGCTAAAATTACGACAGAAAAAAAGCAAAGAGCTAACACCGCCCAGTAATCGTAAGTTACTTATCGCTGATTAGTTAAAGTCCCACATCACGCTTCTGATTGTTGCTGACAAACTGCAGGAGTTTGTTGCAGGGAAGTAACTGCATAATAGAAAGAGACAGCATTGTTCGAGCTGAGATTGCTGGTAATTTATTTACAATCTCATGCTGAGTAGACACAGTGGTTGAGGATGTGTTCAAAGATAGACTGCTAGCAGGGAAAACAGACACTGTTAACTTTCCATCAGCTCCAAAGTATCAGTTTTAACATGTTGAATCTTTTTCAGCTCACATGTATGTCAGTAACCTTGCCTGTTTTCTGTGGAGTGGCAAACTGGCGGCTTAGTGTTTGTTGGAACTTGAATAGCTGCTTCCATCTTTCTGAGATGGATGCAAACTGCCAAAATATCATTTAAAAATGTACATTTCTAGTTTAAATGTGAATTCTAATTGGAAAAAAACTTACATATGTGGTGAATTAATTGTTTCTACATGAGGATCATTTCATTTTTGAAAGGCTGAAAGTAACGGTGCTCTTTGTTGCCAACTGCATCCAATAATAAAACCTCTAAAAGCCTAATCAGCAGACCAACTCCACACAGAGTTTGGCTTATGTGTGCATCTATGTATGCATTTGTTTTTATCAGTAACAGTGTCTATAAATGTTGTTACATTTAAGTGAAATCTAACCCACACAGCTCATTTGCAGACCTTGTCCCAAGTTTGGTTTAAACTAACGGCACAAAACAAACAGTAAAGTAGAACCAGTAATAGAAACAACAATGACTAAAAGAATATAGATTTTAAAAAAACCTGTTTGTGTCTGTGTGCGTCAGATCAGGAACTAGGTAACATTTGAATTTCTCTCTTAAGCTCCAACCTTTCATTCTCGACACAACAACAACTATTTTTGTGTTTACAAATAAGAGCAACGCAGTGAGTGTCTTTAACAAGAGAGTTTCTAAAAATGTGCACCGTTTTCTTATTTCAAGTACAGAAAATCCCAGTCTGTGCTCTGCAATGCTATGCCAAACATTTTTGTAAGGTTAATTTTTGGGGAATTTTGTGCCTTTGTTGGAGGGATAGTGTGTCAGACAAGGTGATGGGGAGAAAAAGAGGCGGGGATGACATCTAGAAATCATTATGCCTTTAATAAATGGGCCAATCAGCCATCGATGAGGTCTGAATTGACTGCCTAGTGCATAGACGCTGTGAGGTCTTTCCCCTTTCTGGCAACCATAATCTCACAGGCCTTCATGCGGGAGCCAAACATCAGCTCCCTCATCAAGAAAGCACAGCAGAGGAAGTACTTCCTGCAGCAGAAACTCAACCAGCTGAGTTCATTGATGGTGTACTTCTGCTCCTCCATCACCATCTGGTACGCTGCTGCCACTGCCAAGGACAAAGGCTGACTGCAGCGTGTCATCAGTTTTGGTGAGAAGGTGATTGGCTGCAATCTGCCTTCTCTACAAGACCTGTATGCCTGCAGGACACCGAGTCGAGCATGAAAGATTGTTGCTGACCCCTCGCACCCCACATATAAACCTTTGGAGTCACTCCCCTCTGGCAGGAGGCTGAGGTCCATTATTGTGGTCCATGAGGAATATAAACCTCATAGCGCAAGAATGGTTTCTTCATATCTGCAGCTGGAAAACTTGACAAAGCTTTGATCCCCTCCTCTCTGTCGCGTTGATGATTTTTATTTGTTCAATTAGCAAACCATTACTCAGGCTGCTGAAAATGTACATATTCGACTACTGCGGACTTTTATATTATATATTCTGATTCTGTGTCAACAAAGCTTCAAGCAGCTAAAACAAGATGATGTTTCACATGTTTAGCTTTCAGCGGTTTGTGCAGGGCTTTGTTACAACACTGATTACAGTTTGTTTGCAAGTACCACAACAGAACAACAGCAGCTTTAGTGGATGTATAAGTAGCAGGCTCACTGTACATCTTCATTCCTGCACTTGTTTTTATTTCTCCATGTCTGCCAAGCATAAAATCATATGGAGATGGATGGAAGCCTTATCAATTTATTCATGCTTTACAACATGCACGCAGCAATAAATAATAAGACATCTTAGGATGTACAGTGGGATCCAAAACATTCTTCTATTTTGCATTAGTTCCCAATTTATCTCAAGAATATTCATGCCAAATGATAAAACCAGCTTTGAGTGAATCTCTACAAAATTTACATAAATTTTAGATTATATCTGTATTTGCTTTGCCCCCCTTTTGACAGCAGTTCTCGAGCCGCATCGGCTCCACAGTTTTATGCAAAATCTGATAACCCACATTATCTCAGCTTGATCTGACGTTCGTTCGAATGGTTCTCATGGTGTCAGGAATGTTTGGCTCTCTCAGTCTTCAAATGAGATTAAAAAGATTCAGTGGAGCTGAGGACTCCTTGGTCTTTGGTCTTAAGTGCTTGCGAACCTTTGATGTGTGTTTGGGTCATTATTCTGCTGCAGTGTGAATCCATTTCCAAGATGTGAGGATGGAGTATCGAGAAGTGCAACTTCTTCTCGGTAAGAGCGCTTTGTATCCGGAGCAAGTGCCCGATCACAGCACTTCACAGCAAATCACCAGTAACACCAGGTGGGAGCTTGGTCTCTGCATCCAAGCGATCCAGCTGCTTGACAGCCCGGATATCATTAATCAACATGAAACCTAACTTTTAAATCACAGCGTGTCGCGTTTAGGGACATTTTGTGTGTCAGGGCATTTCCAGCCCTGACACACAGGGCCTTCCTTTGCAATTCAAAGGAAGGCACCTGTAACTTTTCCTTTCAAGCTGAAGTGAAAAGTGTTGAGGGAGCAGAGAAGGTCAACAAGGCCAGCACAGGTTTAATGAAAACAAGCCGGGAGAGCCGCCCTCTCGTTTCATGTCACACTGTCAACATCACAAAAATGTTCGGTTCCCTTACCGCCACTGATTCTCTAAATGATACCAAAATTATACTGTGGCAGTGTTGTACACACTAAGGCGCTGGTTTTCAGTCGCAAGGTAGCAGTAGTGGGATTCCCAAACCAGATCCACCTGTATAATGTCGTTTCAACCCTTTATTCCCACCACCTTGTTGCACTCACACTGCACTATCGCTCTTTTTTTCCTCTTCGCCTCCTCACAACCCTCTCTTTTTGCCATAAATCTAAGACTTGGATATGTCAGTACAAATGTTTTTCTTTCTCATCATCCTCTTTGAAATGCTGTTATGGCTTTGGCCTTGTTTCCTCTCCTGAGATGTGGTTTAGATATTGCCTCTCATCCTCTGAGACCACTGCTAGACAGCCTTAAGCTCAAGAAGCCCCTTCCTCTTTAAAAGGTTGTTTAGAATAACAATTTGACATCAGATGCCATGTGGCAATTACCCTTACTTATGTTCTCTTAGAAACTATTTCCTCCTTTTATCGTCTCTCTTGTTTTGCCACCTGAGTCTTCCTACCGGAGACAGTCTAGATAACTTTTTGTATCTATTTATTTTTAAACTGTTCAGTTTCTTGGAAACTTTTACCATGAGTTTCCTTATTGGCATGTCTTTATGTTACCGGTCGAATGAACAGATCATGGAGGAGAGACTGGCCATTTGACCCCTAAATAAGCGTGTCCATTAGGCTACAGTGCACGCCTTACTTTTAAGCTCTGAATCTCAGCACTTCTGGAATTATTAACAATGTTGTCTTTCATCTGCTAACCTGTGTGAGCTTGGTCAGACCGCCTCCATCGTTAAATTGGCAGCTGAGCTCAACAGACTCTGTGGGATACGCCTCCAGCTCCTCCGCAACTTGCACTTTTGGAGCCCCAATTTCTGAAAGCAGAAGAAAGAGAAAGGAGAAGAGAGATTATGCAATCATTCATATCATCATATTTCTTTGTAATAAATTTAAAAGAGGAAGTTGAACAAACAGGGACTAAAAGAGGTAAGAATCTGAGAGGAAAGCATTTTCAGTGGGCTTTTAATTAAATGCACTTGCTGTGACTGATATTTTCCCCTCCCACGTTTTGTTTGCCATGATTGTGAAGGATCAACCTCCTTCATTCATTATAGATAATTTAGAGAACTATACTCAAAACAGAGCGAGAAAGAGGATTAAACGAACAGGAGACCATGAGAGAAAAGAGACAAGCTCCTTAAAGAGAAAGAAATAAAAATTCAGAATCATTAGTCTTTGGTAAAAAAGCCTCAGGCAGAGGCTTCCTTCACCTGGGTCCTCCTCATTACAGTAAAGCTTGTCTACCAGGAGACATCGCTAGGGGGCGAGCCTCTAGGAACACGGTTGGTTACTTTGCCTTTCATCTGTTTGCAATTCAAAGGAAGGCACCTGTAACTTTTCCTTTCAAGCTGAAGTGAAAAGTGTTGAGGGAGCAGAGAAGGTCAACAAGGCCAGCACAGGTTTAATGAAAACAAGCCGGGAGAGCCGCCCTCTGCGATCAAACTTAAACAGAGATCAAACACATATGCTAACAGCCAAGCAATGCCTCAACACTGTGTGCCACCTGTTGACCCGCAGGCTGTGTCAGAACACAGAGTTTAAACTGGACAAGAGGAATTAGTTTTTTAACATTCATCCGTCATTCTGTAATTGACTGACTCAGCTCTATGCAGCTGCCAGACCTCCTTTCAAACCTATACTTTATCCCTTTTTATCAATTTGTAACAAAATGTCACTGTGCTGCTGTGATACGCTATTTTCTTGCCAACAAGAATTGGTGTTCCTACCCATGTATCAGGTTTCTTTGTTCAAATACTCTCCACAGGAGAGCCGGACGTCCACTGAATTTCAGATTGATCTGCCAAACAGAACTGATGTTGCAGAAAATGCATTTCAGGCTTGCAACAGAAGTGCAGGAAACCCTGAGCTAGACACATTCTGCAAAACAGCAGGTTTAAAAAAGTGCTCCTCAGAACATTGCTTTAAACTGCATGTAGGCTCTTTGTTGTGTTGTTTTCCCCCTAGTGAGAAAATATTCACTTGCTGTATAAATTTCTTAAAATTGAAGGACTTTAATGAACTTGTAATTCTTGTAGCCAACAGAGGGAGAAAGACAGAAAATGGCTCAACCAGAATAAGAAAGAAAAATGAAAAGACAAAGGATCAGAGAACTTGTAATCCTTTCTTAATACAATCTGGGCCAAATCCAGCAGCTCAAAGTGTTTGGCAACATCCATAAACAATCATATGAGACTGGGAGTGACATTTTAAGCGTGTCCAAATGTTCATGCTTTGCAGTCAAAATGTTGTTTTTCACAGTGAGCCATCAAACACTCATTTGGAGTAACTTAATGAAGCTTTTCTCTTTCTTTTTTTTACTTGACCTGCTGCTTTCACTCATTCAAGCTCCAGATCCCCTGCTGACCCGGGATCAAATCCTACCAAGGCCTTTCTTGTCTACCTCCCCTTAGTCTCTGCCCTCTCAGCCAGCTTCTGTGCCTGTAAAGATAAAATTCTTGTGGGGAGCCGGCCTCTTACTCTCACCACAAGAAAAAGGGGATAAGCACTCACTAACCGCTAGCTATAACCGCTAGCTAGCCTCGGGTGTGTTTGGAAAAAGCCTCTTAGTGTGTGAGGGATTGATTAGGACAATGTGTTACATTCTGCACCATGGAGGTGAATGGGCTGGCCGGGATTTAGCCCGAAAATCAGCTGTAAAACGCAGTCACACTAACAAAAGAAGTGTGAAGGTTGTGTGCTGCAGGAGGTCTTGGGTTGTTTTGGATTTACAGCATGCGCGCATCCGCGTGTCCAACCATGTGTGCGGGAGTGGATTTTGTGTGTGAAGTCATATGCATGCTTTACAGCGCAGGACTGATGTGTGCATGTGTGATCGTTGTACGTCAGAGTGTGCGCATAAATCACAGCATCTCACTGTAATGTGAGTGCAGATAAGACTGACTGAGTCACTGAAGCACACTTTTTACCCCAAGGGAGACAACGGGCTGTCAAACCATTTATCCATTCCTACTGTGGGTCCAACACACTCACACACACAGACACACACACATATAGACATGCAAATAAAATAAATTAAGTTTTTACACAACCCGACAACAACGAAAACAGCAGAGTTTGAATCTGTTTTCCCCATTTGCTTCTCTTTCGATGTCATTTTTGTTCACATTTGCTTTTTTCTTTTCTCATAAACAAAAACGCGGATTAATTTCACTTAATTAAACACATCAACACACAACTCCCACTATTCATAAAGAAACCAAAATGCAGAAATACACAGACACACCAGATGGTCTCACCAAAGCCATGAACCACATAAATGTTTGGGTTATTCATAGTGGTCAATGAAATCTCTTCTGTGACGCACGGGGAAAAATATAATAAACAGAAACAGGGAGAAAAGAGAGGAAGAGGGGATGATGGTGAAGGAAAATGAGGTGTATTGAGGTTAAAAGAGCTAAACAGTGAAAGAAAACGATGTCAGGAAGAATATGAAAGGAGCTTTGAGAAGGATGGTAGAAACATTTATTTAGGGGAATAAATATTACGGAATAAACGAGGAAAAGCGACTAAAGGAATGTCTGAAGCTGAGAGAGGTGGAGGAGTAGACTGGAGGAGGAAATAAAGAAAACCGGAGAGAGGGGAAGTTTTAAAAATGGTCAAAAAGCGACACGAGGAGAAAAAGCTAAATCCTTGAAAAGTAAAATAAGGGAGCAGAGAGCATGAGATGAAACCACAGATGATTCATTTTCTCAGAGTCAGATGGAGACCGAACCTACTGGCTCCCTGAGATGAGACGAGTGAGAGGGTGAGAAAGTTTTCATTCTGACCGTACATACAGACCAGCGTGATCTCAGCTGCAGCAAAGTTGCAGCTTGTTTTGAGGTTAACCATCCAAGCTGATACTTGTTTGCTGCAGTGTATAGGCTATGTGTGCAAATATAATACATCGTGTGGAAAAATATCATCTAAGCTACAGAAGACTTGCATGAAAAAAAAATGAAAGCTCACAAAAGTTGTTGTCAAACATGAAATCAGTCTCAAAAGATTTAAAAAAAAGTGGGTAAATTATGTTAAGAAAACACTAAATACTGGTTCTATCAGTTCTATCAGCAGGATTATGGTATCTCTGGAAATGTAGTGATAGCAAAAGAAACCGAGACGTGACTATCAAACACTAGGTGAGAGTGAAAGGTAAAAAATAGTTCCACAGCAGCTTCCTGGTTCATGGTAAGTAGTAAGGTAGACAACACTGTGATATGTACTGAGAGTGCAGAGAGGTGGAGGTGTGCTCTGGAGTGAAGAGGAATGAAAGTCAGCAGAAGCAAGACAGAATAGGGGAGATGGGTAACAGCGACCTGTGGTCAACCATCATAAGCAAACGGACGGCACACAGGAGAGGACGGCAGAGGCAGGGGGGGAGTGGGTGGACATTAGTGTCAGGGGTGGGACAGCAGCAAGGATAGCAGAAAGAGAGGAAGGGGAGGTTTCCAAAATGAGGCCTGCTATGATATGTGGTTTGGAAACACTGGCACTAAAAAAAGAGAGGAGGTGGAGCTGGAGGTGGCCCAGTTGAAGATGTTAAGCTATTTGTGAGTCTGTTTGTTTGAGCACGTTTGCATGAATGGCTTGGAGACAAAGTTAGAGAGGCGAGGCTGAGATGGCTTGGACATGTGCAGAGAAGTGTCTAACAAGTCTCAGCGGATACACTGGACAAAGAATGTTGAATATGCAGCTGAAAGACAAGAGGAGAAGGGAAAGACCTCAGAGGTTTATGGAAACAGTGAAGGAATACATGCAGAAAGCTGGGGTGATAAAGGCGGAGGCGGATGATCTAATGTTTTGACTCCTAAAGGAAGAAACCCAAATGAAAAAGAAGAAGAAAAAGTAATAAAAAGGTGTAATTGCATACTTGGATATTGGGTGAAGGCTTTAACTCCCCAAAAAAGAAGAAAAAAAGTCAAAATTCTACTTGAGTTGTTTTCTGTTATTTGCTTTTAGTAGTTCTGGTGCATAGAGACATTGCAATCAGTAACTGCCTTTATTGAATAGTTGTAATTAACATGTTGAATGCAAGTACTGCAGATGGGAAATGTGGGGAATGAGAGCAGGGGAGTGCCATGCAGCAAATGTCAGGCCCATCGGGACATGAAGTAGGTTCTCAGCTGCCGAGGGCGTTTTGGGCCATGCCACACTCACCCCAACTTCTAGGCCACTGCATCTCCAACAGTCTTTAAATCTTTAAAGATGCAGATGGGTGAGGTTCAAAAGACCTCAGCTAATAGCCAAGAAAGAGAAGTTTTGATTTAAAAAAAAAAATCAAATAGAATTTTTATTAAATAAAAGCAATCTGAAAAGATCAGGAGCCTGCTCTTCTATCGCCTAAAACTGGGGAAAGCTCTCAATGAACAGTCCAAGTATGTATATATTTTATTTTTCTTCAGCTTTATTGAAACATAAACTTTAAAGCTTGCTAAAGTAAGTTGCTTACAGAAAACACTCAGCCCTGTGAAATCAAGTGTCATCATTGCTTATGCCTAATTGTATTGTTTTCTGGAAGCATAACGTACAAATGTTTGTCCCGCTATCAAGGAAATTGGTGTCAGTGCACCACAATAATTCTTATCTTTTTAATCCTCTCCAGCTTGCAACCCCAGTGATCCCACAGTTTGTAGCTTATTCCTACTGGAAGTCACTGTGGATTGGAGCAACAGCTAAACACAAACAGAAAGTCAAAAAGGGAAGGTGTAGGTGAACAGCCACATTCTGCGTCTCTCTCAAAGCACCAGGGAGATGAATCACAGTTAATTGACATTTAGAGGCTTGTGGCATTTGCCTGTTTATGTGGAGATTCCCC